TTATAAGGAGGAGCTCAAGCTTTTGTATGTTTCACAATTGTAATGATACGAGCTTTTTGACATCTGTGTTGCTGCAATACCAAGTTCAGGCATGTGATCGTGCAATTTATGTATTTATTTATTTCCTTTTCCAAGTTAGTTTCAGGCAATTGATGTTTCTTCATAATTTCAAACTCCAAACCTTTCCATAGAATTCTAGAGGTAAAAAAAATCACATATCTCTAATGGTTGATCTTTTTAAATTTTCATCTAATCAAATCTGATAAAGAATTTGATGAATTATCAATTTGATGATAAAGTATATATATTTCTCCCTTGATTTGATGAAATGATTGGTGGTTTTTGACTCTTTGTCATCAAACTTAAATTTGATATAGAAAAAAATGAGGTTAAGGATTGGAGATGGGCATGGGAACATTTTGTACAATCTATAACAGCCCTACTTGTGATCCTAGGCTCCCTTATCAACTCCAACTAAAATGAGAATTTTTAAAAAGATTTTTATGAAAGGGTTGAAAGAGTAATGCTTGGTAGCTCGAATATGAAGTTGGCTCGAATGGTTTGAAATTCATTTTGCCGGTCATTCGGGCGGACATCCGGGTGGTCATCTGGCAAGGAGGTTGACAGTTGCGGTCGACAATGGTGATAATTGCGGTAGACAATCTTTCACCTGGTCATCCGGGCAGACGTTCGGCCTATACAAATTCAGGTCATTCGAGCTCTCTCCAATTCGAGCTGCCACGCTTTTTTTGAGTTGAAATAGTTTATATTAAATTAAGTTTTTTTAGTTTAAATTTAGAATCAAATTAGATGATAAAAGTTGTGAATGATTGGACATGTTCCTAGTACCAATATTTGTTATGGTACCCAAAAAAACAAAAATCAAGAGGAATAATGTATCAATGGAAAATGGAGTAAAAATTTGCTAATCAATTAGTGAGAATCTTTTTGGGGTGCAAGCACACATTTTGAGATTTGTATTTGTAAATCAATGACTTGTGAACATTAAGCATTTTTTTCCTCAACAAATTCAACGTACAAATGGTTTGGGTTTTCAGAAAATACTTTTCAAAAAATTCTATATTTTTATTTTTCGTATTTTTTTGTTTTTACTAAATATTTTTAATATTTTAAGCAATTTTTTCAATTTTTAGACACATAATATAAATACACTTAAAAAGTATAATATTTGTGAATTTTTTTTTTAAAAAATTCATTAAATACCAAAAATATAAAAATTTAATACATTTTTGTATTTTTGTGTATTTATTAATTTTTTAAAATATTTTTTTACAAATATTTTACTATTTAGACACATCTAAGTAGTGTGCATCTAAAAAAGTAAAAAGAATTGCTTAAAATTTTAAAAATATTCACTAAAAAAAAAAATACCAAAAACAAAACTTAATTTCTAAAAAATTGAACTCAAAAAATTAAAACCAAACACACTGATTAATTTTATTATTTTTTTTAATGACAAATGCCATTGGTTGATCTTTGTTTTTTGTGAGTCATTTTCTATAATAAAGATTAGATTAGCTTGATTAAAATATTCTACTTTCAACTATAAAAACGAAAAGATTATGGGGACGGGGATGGGGATTGGGAATGGTGAGTGAAAGTTGAAAACAGAGGGTGTTCACGTTGTACTTGAAAAAGTTAGTGTCCTATCTGTGTGTCCTAATATGCTTATGTTTATCTATATAAAAACTTTATTTTCTGTTATAACTTTATGCTGAATTTGAATAATAAAATGACTTGTTTTTTTTTATTACAGGAAAATCCTCCTTACCCTCCCGCAGATCCAAGACAACGCCCCTTCCAGAGATCACCAGGATGTCTTAAGAGGTCGGGACAAGTTCTCAAATTATAATCTTCTCACTCGAACTTATTTAATATACGATTCTTCTTTTTTTTATGTGATTGTATCTTCTAAGTCACTACAAACTTCAATAATATCACTAAAACTACTGCCTAGTTGTGGATACCAAGTGATGATTGAAATCACCGAAAGAATAAAGTGAAAAGAGAAAGTTATACAATTAGCAATATTATATTAACAAATATCACTAAAACTGCTGCCTAGTTGAAAAACCATTCAAGACTTGACAAATGCTCTTGAATGAAAGGCACCTTGCCTTTATGCCCATGCAACAAGTTAATCCCATTTCAACTTTTTTTTTTGGTTATTTATATTTTTTTGTTTTGGGTGTGGCAACTCTGGGTGATTTTAATTTGTTGTTAGATGGACACAAAGGTAAATAGCGGGATGTCTAATCCAAAACATGAATGATTTTGGATTGATAAAAATTAAGTTGGAGCATTATATGACCTTATGTTGTTTCCTAAAGGTAGATCTCACAGTTTAATTCAATAAAAATAAAATTTTTTTACTATATAACCTTGACTTGGGACACCAAATAATTTTGGGATTTTGTTCACATTAGTGCATAGTTGAAAAAATATTTTCAAATTAGTAAAAAACTTCATAAATATTAAAAAGTAAATTATAAACTTTTTCATGATTTTGTAATTAAGTTTTAAAGATAACATGTAATTTCCCCAATAATTTTCCAGTTTTTATAATGACTAACAAGTAAAGTTGAGACGTTCCTATTTTGAAGTCCACTGTTATATTCTTGAATTTAAGAAAGAACACCATATAATGTAATGACATTCTATTTAACCAGTTAATCTTTTGTTCTGTTGGAGACCTCTTTGTATGACTTTTATTTATTTTTTTATTTCAACCTAAACCATCAACCTATTTTTATTAAATAAATAAATTAACTAATCATTAAACTCAATGTGTATACATAGCATATTTAAAATACTATTTTTTGTTGAGTTTAAAGACTAAAATAAAATTTTTTCTGTAATTTTACTTAAGAATAATAGACAAATGATTTAGATCGAAAACAAATAAAAAATTTATAATTTAAATTGACAAAATTAAAAACTCAAATTTATTTTGTTGCAAGAGTTGAATCTTGGAATTTTTTTTTTTTGTAGTTTCCCCTATGTATTAACATCCATCAAAACAAGTTTCTAGGCCTACAAACGTGTAGTTTTTGCTTCACAAAGCAGTCAATTCATTAACTAAAAGGAGAATTACATTAAAAAAAAAAAAGAAAAAAAGAAAAGGTGATTGTATTGTCGCCAAAATACAAAAATAACATTGCCACAAAGAGAAGTCACAGCTGTTAAATAGGACATCATACCTACTTGAGATGATTTGAATGCAAAACCAACTTGGAAAAGGAAATCAGCATAAAGCTTGAACAAACACCACTTTCGCTCACACCTCATTTCTACCAACAAAACTACTGTGATTTCTCCATGAGGATGATAGTTTTACTAATATAATACAATATCACTAGCAAAAACTGCACATGAAACTACTCACAAAGTAGCTTCTTTCACAATTCCTCCTCCTCTCTTCATTGGTTTCTGGACAAACAAAGGCATCAATTATACCAGTATAGTTAGGTTCCACTACCAAATTAGTTTAGTAATCAGATCAGATGTGTCATACCAGTTTAGTTTTTAATAAAGAGCGCTTCATTAGCAATTGATCTTCATGCGCTTCTTTCTTTACACGCTGGCATTCTCCGCACCAGCTAGAGAAATCACTCTGATATCTATTCAGCTCTCTAAATAAGGAACTGTAAAGAGAAAATTGTGCAAATGCAATGTGCATGAAAATTAAGCATAGGAACAATTAAATGACAGATGCTTGCGAATCCAAAATGAATAGTTAAGAAAACTTCATAATTTTTAGAAGTTCCAAATGTACCAGTTCTGGAACATATCTACTATTACATAACGGGAACCCCAGTTTGGCGTTCCCTATTTTTGAAGCCCCACCAGGTTTTCACTTTTCTGAAGACAGCTGATTACAATTTTTTTGGGTACATGCGTTGTTTTCTTAGGCTTAGAATGAAAACATAAAAAGTTGGATGAGAAACTTCTTAGGCTTAGGTTGGCACAACAAAAAACTTTAACAGACCTTAAAGGTATGGATGGCAATTTGAACTCGGCCCAATGGAGACCCAGTCCCCCGGCCTCGATTAGAATGATTTTTCCATGAAAATCCCCCCGACGGGCCGGGGATGGTATTCGAAAATGAATCCCCGACAATTTTCGGGCCGGGGACGGTGATACGTTCCCCGGCCCTGTCTCCGTTTGCCCGAACTAAAAGTACTATTATACCGTATGATGCACGGACACGGATATAGGACACGACACGGACGCGGCGGACACGCAAATTTTTAAAAAATGAAGGACACAACACGCTGGGGACACGTTTAATATACATAATTTTATTTATTATATGTCCAAAATTAAAAAAAAAAATTATTAGTTCCTATACAATTATAATAATAATAAAATTAATAAACATATTTCTTAAATTTTTTTAATAAAAGTTGATTATGTTTTAAATAAAAATAATTTATTCTATAAATTTTAGGTTTAATAAAAATAAAGATAAAAAAACGGAAAAAAAAAAGGGAAGAGAGATGAAATCAAGAAAGAAAAGGAAGAGAGAAACAGGGGTAGAAAAAAAGAGAGAGAAGTGAAAAGAGGGCAGTGAAATCAAAAAAGAGAGAACAGAAGAAGAAAAGAGAGAAGTGAAAAAAGGAGAGTGAAATCAGAAAAGGGAGAACAGAAGAGGGAGGGGAGAGAGACGAAACAGTAAAGGGAGGGGAGAGATCGAACAGAAAAGGGAGGAGAAGAACCAGAGAAGAAGACAAACAGAGAAGATGAAGGATAGAGAAGACGAAAAGAAAGAAGCAGAGCAGAGAAGGCGAAGAAGATTACCTCAGGTTATTACTTCTTCGATTGATCTCTTTTGAACAGGTTAGGGCTTCTTCGTTCAATCAATCTCTCCCTCGATCTCTTTCTCTCTTTCTCTCCAACAGCTTAGGGTTCTTCGATCCGTGTCCAGAACGTGTCATCGTGTGTCCACCGCGTGTCCAATTGAAAAAATTCAAAAAAAAAAAAAAAAAGACACGTTAGATAGTGTCGGACATGTGTCCACAGCGTGTCCAACGCGTGTCAATGTTTGTGTCCGACACGTGTCTGACACTCGTACGCCGGCCCTAGGAACATATTGGTGCTTCATAGATTATATCCCTTTATCCATTCATATATATACCCCTCTCTGTCACTCTCTCTCTCTCTCTCTCTCAGACTCACAGATCGACGGCCTCGATCACTTCGCTGCCACTCCTTACTTCATCGCCGCCGCCGCCGTATGACCACCACTTCCGCCGCCACTGTCTATATCGGTGTTGTCGATCTTGGATTTCAAATCAGATTCGTTCAATCTGTTAGATCCAAACCCCTCCACACCGCTATAAACCCTAGCCCTACTCTCCTACAATCTCTTCGCCACCTCCTTCTCCACTACCTCCGTTGTTCGCCACTCCTCCGCCACCCTTAGCTCTCGCTTACTCCTCTGCCCCATATCTGGAGCTTCTCTCTCTCTCTCTTCTCTATCTTTCCATCCCACTTTATTCCTCTCTTTCTCTGTGTTATATACATATACAAAAATGTTTCATGTCCCCTTTTTCCCCACCCCCTTTGACCCCCTCTCTCTCTCATTGGTTACATTTTTTTTTCCTTTTTTTCCTGCTCCTCCAATCACCACCCGCCACGTGTCGTGGGGGTTGTGGGGGTGGTGAATGGAGGGGGTCTCTATCATGGCTCATACATATATATTATAGATTTGAGCTCAGATCTGTGAGATCTAAGTTAGATCTGTTGTTGATGAAGTGATGATCTACAATTTTCAAAAAAAAAAAAAGGGTTGGGGATTTTGCGTGGTC